GGCAGCCATTTAATGTTCACTTTTCGTTTTCCACGTCTCGCTGTGTACTTTAGACTTAGCTCAAATGATGGCGAGAACGGTTTCACTCTCGGATCAGGAGGCTCCGCGCACTCAGACGAAGGTGGTACTGATCTCAGTACTACCACAGTCAGAATAGAAATGACGTGCACTGCGGAAGACGGCAAAGGCGAAGCTCACGGGCTGTGAATTCACGCCGCAAGTGCTGGGAGTACCGAAACCAAGACTGCCGGAGTGCACACGTTGGGATTTAATGAACAACAGTAACGGAGAATGACTTAGCCAGGACAGTGGGTTGTTTAATTAAGGGGATAATGGATCTTCTGCAAGGACCAACTAAATGGAACCGAAAGAGCTTTGGACTGGGGGGCTGGGGAGGGGAGTGCACCGCGAAAGGCAGCAGGTGGATGAGAAACCCCTGCAACAAGCCAGGCGGGCTCTGTTCTTTCCAAAAGTGCACTGAACATGACTGTCCCCAAACGGGAACTACTTGGGAACTGGCCTAACACTGGTGCGGACGGGCTTAAACCTTCTGCAGATCATAACGGAGCCATACAGTGCCAGCAGGCATGTACTGTGTTTTGTCAAGAAATTCTGATCATCTTAAAGATTTTCTTATAGATAGGAGAATGAGTGCAATAATATGTTTGTCGCAATGCTCTTTCCCAGGGTGCCAAGATTCTATCTTTCTGATGCAGCCGATTGGCAAGCTCATTTCCTGGGTTTAAGAGTTCAAAAAACCATTTCTCGCTTCACTTTGATTACAAGTCAACCTCCTCTTGCTAATTCAGCACGCAGGCTACGAGTTATTAGTTTTTCTCATCTCCTCCCCAAAAGTGAAGCCAATGCCCCCTTTCTCAAGGGGTTTCCTTTCCTGGGGCTGAAATCCCTCAATCCTGAGTGGTTCCTCCAAAATTTCAGGCCAATCTGCTCAGAAATCCTTCTCTTGACTCAGTGTGGGGGCCTGAGAGTTCCCATTAACAAAACCCAAAGTGCCTAAAATTTTGCAAAGGGAGAAAACAGCACAGCAAGTTTTCTTCCTCTTCCGGCTCTCCAAGCTGAATTCCTGGACAGGAAACACAGCCCGGAATCTTGTGTGCTTACAAACCCTCCCGTGATGCTAACATGAGAGCACCGTGCCTGGCTGCCACCGCATTTGACAGGAGCCGGGCACGCATCAGTAGATGGCTGTGTAGGGTATGGGAGTAGGCACAGCACGGCTCTAAGGAGCTTTACTTAGCTGGAAGCAAAGACGGGAATTTTGTCCCAAGACACAGAGAACAAAGCATGCCTTGGCGGAGCCCATCGGTTACTGTAACGATTTCCTGGATAAGAAACTGGCAAGGTGTCTTTGTGTTCCAGAAAACACCCCCCACCGCAGAGAGAACACATCCTAAGCTTAGAGGTGCGACACCCAACTTCTAGGTTGGCAGATGAGGCGCTGTGCTCCCCAGGGGCTGGGGCTGGGGGCAGCTTTTGTCCCAGGCTGTCCCTCCAGGGCACCAGGTGTTGAAACTTCCAGTTGCTCAGGTGGTTGCTCTGCCTTCTTCTGAGTTTCCTTGAAAGAACTACACACACACACACACATGCGCGCACACGCACGCACGCACACACGCACACTCCAGGCTGCTTACCACACCTTGGTTTTCAATTACATAAACCACCTTGGGCAAATTTAGGAAAGCAAGACTTTCAAACCACTGGGTGCAGATGCCTGAGAGGAGGGGAAAGGAAGGGAGAGGGGAAGGGGAGGAGGAGGAGGAGGAAGGAGGGAGAGAGAAAATTAGAAATATGACGGCTCAGGCTGGGGGAAGTTGCCTGAAAGGAAATGAAAAACCTTCCGGTTTTTTTTTTTTTTTGACAGGCAGAGCAGACAGTGAGAGAGAGAGAGAGAGAAAGGTCTTCCTTTGCCGTTGGTTCACCCTCCAATGGCCACCGCGGCCAGCGCACCGTGCTGATCCGAAGGCAGGAGCCATGTGCTTCTCCTGGTCTCCCATGCGGGCATGCGGGTGCAGGGCCGAAGCACTTGGGCCATCCTCCACTGCACTCCCGGGTCACAGCAGAGAGCTGGCCTGGAAGAGGGGCGACCGAGACAGAATCCGGCGCCCCGACCGGGACTAGAACCTGGGGTGCCGGCACCGCAGGCGGAAGATTAGCCTAGTGAGCCACGGCGCCGGCCAAAACCTTCCATTTTTGATATCACCCTTTTGTTAACATCTTGTCACACAGCACAGACTAGGTTGTGTGCCTTCTCTCCAGCTTCCAGGGTAATCACTCACCGCAACAGGGCACGTGCCACGGCACCAGTAAAAAGGCATTCAATGTCACTGTTAAAGGCATGGCCCCAAGAAACCAGGGGCCCCACCCTCCACCAGGCTGTACGGCATCCACCAGCCGATCTGAACTTGAAAAGCAAGAGTGATGCAGAGTTCTGAAGTCATCTTTTCCCAGTAGCCTTTCCCCCAGGGGCTATACAGGAAAATCATTTTTTTTCCCAAGAGTCCACAGGAATTTCTTCGACATCAAGTAACATTTGGAGGGGGAGGGGGGGTTAAAAAATTCAAAACCCAGGGTTTTAATGGATTTGAAAAAAAAAAATTTTCCAAAAAAAAGGGGGGAAAACCTTTCGGATCCAACCCTTAAAAAAGGGCTCGGAGGGGGTTTAAAAACCCTTTCCAAAAAAGGCCCCCCCCCCCCCCCCCCCCCCCGTCCTGGGCCCATCCCCTCCCTCTCCTTCCTGTCTGCAGTGGGGCTTTGATGACCCTGAGGCTGCCCGATGTTCCCTAGCTATGTTCACTCAGACTCGTCTCTGTGTGGACTTAGTCCATTCTCGGTGGCTATTGCAACGCCAGGCTCACCCGAGACCCGCTGACCAGGTTTATTTCGCTCATGGTTCTGGAAACCCCAGAGCATGGCCCCATGGTTTTCAGTGAGGGCCATGTGTGGCTCCACGCTTGGTGGAGAAGGGCAGGCGGGTGTGAAGAGACCGCGAGGCGAGGAGGCGAGTAAGAGCACAGCCAAGGCCGCCCACCCGGCTTTAAGACCCGGCTCCAGAGGGTCCTCGTGAATCCCTCCCTGAGGGTGGAGCTCCCTGACCTCACCAACTCTTAAAGGTCCCACCACCTCTCAGTTCCCTTACGGAGGCTTTGAAATGCAGAGAGTTTTGGCGGGAACAGACCATACCCAAACCATAGTAGGGAACTTCAGGACTTCTAGAGAGTGCAGCAGACACCCTCTGGTGAGGACCGAGGACCGAGGACTGCGGCTGCGGCTGTGCGCCCAAACCCAGCATCATTGAAAGGAGGGTCAAGGACACAGGTGCAAAATCTGTCCTTTGTTCTCCAAGGTTTCTGGCGGCGATACTTTCCATGCTGGATGCAAGTGAGAACCTTCTGGAAAGTTTCATAGATGCTTACACGTCTGGGCTCCATCCCTCAAGCTCCTGGTTTCATGATTGGTCGCGAGAGAAAGCCCACAGTGCTATAGCTGGATCTGCATTTCTAGCCACCGTTCTAGGCGATCTCAACTAAGCTCAACAGTTTTACACAGCACCCACAAGCCAGGTGATGCTCTAAGCACTTCACAAAATATCTACTCTCTTCAACCTCACAGCACCCCCAAGAAGCGGGCAAATGCCACAATCATCATGCCCATTCTACACACGTGGAGACTGAGGCACAGACAGCGTCAGACACTTGCCCAGCAGGACACAGCTAGCCAGTGCCTGACCTGTGAGACCACGCTCTAACCACTGCACCAATGGGTTCTCAAGCAGCCTTGGCGGTGTCAGGGAGGTCTTCGAAAGCTGCATTCTCAGGCCACACCCCAGACCAGCTGCAGCGAGCGCCTGGTGAGTAACAAGCTCTCTAGGTGCTGGGCGCGCAAGCTCAAGTTTGAGAGCCACTGGCCCACCCACCACTGCCTGTCAGCTGCAGGTGCGTGTCCGGAGAGATCTCAGCACGTTGAGAAGTGCAGGTGAGCACGGTGCCAGCCGCAAGGGCGGGCTGAGCTACAGCTGGCAGTGATGGACAACTCCAAGCAGCTGATGCACGCACCCTTCCCCCACACTGCACAGTTAGCATGTGATTCGCCCAGAGCAAAGGCACAGGCGACTCAGCTCTCCCAGGGGGCAATACCCAAGCCCCTCGGTCATCTTCTCCACTAACAAGACTGTGATGAAGCCCAGAGCCTCTGGAAAGCTAAAGATCAAACCAAAACACAGCAATCTCTGCCCCAAATCTATACAACAGAAAAGCAAGAAAAAAAAATCCTAATTCTGAAGCCACTTTTCATGCGGGGCTCCCCCTCTAAAATTGCCAAACCGCCCTCAATCGGTCTCTCTGTCTTTAAGAAAGGTGGTGGGTGGGTGGGAGAAGATGGGTTCTCCAACAGGAAGAACCCGCCAGGCAGCCACCCCCCTCCCTTAGTGATGCCAGTGAGCATCTAAAAATATCTATGAGATCACAGTACATTAAGTGCGTGACACCAAACATTTGTAACTAATCCATGAAAATAAAGTAAGGGTGTCGTGTTGCACGGGGAACACAGTGGAATTTGTCTTGTGTTATCATTCTAAAATAAGACGGCCTCAGTGTGGTTGAAATATATCTTCACACATTGTCTTGCCGGAGCAGAGCCATTTGAGAAATTCTGATTGCAATTATAAGTGCTGAACAGGGAGCACTTTGCATTTCCTTTGACGATGCTGAAAGCTATAAGCAATCCTGATATTAAAATCTTTGGAAATTGATGAGTGCCCCAGGCATCATTACAATACTTTCTCCTGCGATCCAAGTAATTAAAATCTATTCTGCGAACACGTGTTAATACTTTATCAACTACTGCTTTTAATTAACTAAACCTATGCAGCCTCCCGCCGCAGGAATGAGACCTTTTCCTTGGAAGTGACCTCGCCCCCCACAAGCCTCCCCTCCGTCCCCGTGCATGGCTCTTTATTTCGGAGTCTGAATGGCCCGCCGTACCACGGTGCTGAACTCCGGAACCTGCCACAGCAGCCAGTCCTCGTTGAGGGTGTACAGGGCTTTGCAAGTGATGACATCGACGGGCCCCTTGTTGATTTTCTGGTTCAGAGTCGTCACCAGCAGATAGAAGGGCTCTCCAACCGTCTCCTTGGAAGACACACAAGAGCCTACAGTCAGCTTTTTGCAGAATCCCCTGCACTTTCCAAAGAATTAAAGTTTCCGCTTATGGCAGTGCGACAGGAGCCAGGAGGCAGTGTTTTCTAACAATCAACACGGAACTCCAAAGAAAATACATACTGCTCGGCTCGGGATTGGGAGCACAACTCGGGAAGCCGCCTCCTCGCTCCAACAGGCGTGCACGCACGTGCGCCTGCACCCCTGCACAAATTCAAAGCGCTTCAGTGCCCGAGACAACCGGAAGTTGTAGCCCGCTGGGAAGGTTTGTGTTGGAGCCTGGGTGTGGCAGGCTGGTGCTCCTCCTCGGTGGGCTGGGCCCAGGAGTGGTTTGTTTACATTCCGCTTACTCGCCTCTCCTAGGCAACCACAAATAAATGACTTTTTTTTTTTTTTTTTAAAGCCCAGTTGAATGGTCTTGGAAACAAAGAGGAAGGTAAGAATCGTTCCGGCATTTGCCAAAGAGCAGCTTCTTGGTGCCCACCACTGCTCTCAGCACTCTGAGCTGATCTCCTCCCCCCCGGGAGGGGGGGCCAGGCCTGTTCCCAGCACCACCCACCTGGGCACCTCTGCAGGTGCAGCTCACCTCCCTTCCAGATGGGGCCGGCTGAGGCCAGGGACATTTCCGGCAAGGCTCTGCCCAGACACTCAGGCCCACCCCACGGCTTCTTCCCGCACCTTCTGCTGGATGGCCTGGGGGTGTGGGGGGGGAGCTGCTCTGTTCCTCAACTACCTCCCACCTGCAGCCTCTGTGCCTTCGTGGGGAGGCTGAGCAGTGCAGGTGGGCGGCTGTGTCACCGCTTCAGCTGCACGCTCCCCGGGCAGGTGGACAGGGTCAGCTACAGAGCATTTGTTGAACAACAAGTCTCTGTGATCCACAGACAGACGTTGGGCCGACGCCCGGGGGAAGACCAGCGGTGAAGGGGCCCAGGAGGTCAAAGTGCCTTGGTGAGGATGAAAAGGCAGCCACGGGGGAGGGCTTGAAGCGCCAGATGACAAAGTCCAGCGTGAGCGCCAAGGCATCCGGCTTTCAAAGGAGCCGTCTACAGTGGGCTCTCTCACCTGCTTTCCCTTGAACCGGGAAATGACCTAAGACCTCTCGGCTTTGGAGTCTCCTGGGCTCACAGCCCCACCCTGCCCTGCCTTTAGAACTTAGAGCAGACCCCCTTGCCATCCCGGGCCTTCCTCCTGCCACCCTCCCCCTCACACAACCCCAGGGCTCTGGCTCTCAATCCTCCCTCCCCTGCGGCTACATCAAGTTCAGGGTAGCACACAGGTGGAATGTTCAAAAATTTCCAAGGGCAGGGCGAGCAGTGAGGCAAGCACATGACACTTACTTCTCATGAGAAACTTCCCTTATTTAGTGGTTGACAAGCTCACCGCTCTCTTCTCCCCCCAGCCCCTTGCTAAGGTACCGGCCACAAACCTTGGGCCCTGCTTCTCTCTTATCCCCTAACACAGATCAGAGATGCAGCTGAGAGCTCTGGTGCAGGGGTTACACGTGCCCAGGAGGTTGGCTTGGGGCCCGGTGGCTCTCCTGGGCCACCCAGGTGACTCTCCAGGAATCTGCAGGGTTCTACAAGCACAGCCAGGCGGGGCCAGGGCATCTTGTCTTATACCACTGTCCACCCCTGTGGGTGTGGTCCTGCCTGATCCTCACCGGAACCCCTTGGAGCTCTCACTAGAAATTCACATGCCTGGGGCCCGCAAGAGGCCTCATCTATGAAGGGGAGGCCTGGTCATGTATGGTCTTAAACCCTGCCTGTGGGGGGGTGTCTGATGTTGGCCGGCTTAGATAATCACAGGGTCTTGAGGTATGTCACCAGGGTGTAGCTGAGTCCTGCATGCGGGGGACAACACGACAGGGCAGCTCCACCCATCTTCCCAGCACACAGAGCAGTGGGGAGGAGGTGCTAGGCCCTGGCGCTGTCCCACACTGGCCGTGGGAGCTGGGGGGAGTCCCCACTGCTGTGTGTGCCCCGATTCTCCCTGGGCAGAATGGTCAGCGAGGCACTTGCCCCCAGGACTGTGAAGGGGATTCAGTGGGAAAGGGAGCCCCGCTCCTAGCGTGCTGTCTGGCCGGGCCACAGCATGGCAGCACCTTGGTGCGTGGCAGTTATTAAGGACCTACTCAGCCTGGAGTCTTGGAAGGGGCAGCTCCCTGGGCATTGTGCAGCCCACTCTGAGGCAGGGCAGGAGGACAAAGGGGGTCAGTGTCCCACAGCCCCAGGGGCACATGGGCCAGGGATGTCAGGCCTCTGCACCAGAGGGCATCGACCCTCAGCAAAGTGAAAACCTCACCGACTGGCTCCCTGCCACTTCCTCCCCGGGGTGCCAAGCTGCCCCCTCAGCGCCCTGGAGTCCTTGAGACACTCTTGAATCAGCACTGAGAAATCTTGACCCAGAATCCTTTGCTCAAGGGGGCTGTTTGGGCTGGGAGCCCAGATTTGTCTGAATGCCTCGCCCCTTCCAGTGCCCAAAAGCAGCCCTTGAGAGCTCACAGTTCAGAATGACAAGCTCCTGATAGAAAGGACTGGAGAGGAATTGAGAAGCGAGAACCACACCTGGTGTTCGGTGGCCAGATGGAGAGGGCCTTGCCCAGGGACACACAGCCGGCCGGGGTTGAGGGGCCTACAGAGCTCTAAACCCCTTTGCCCAGTGCTTCTTCCACCACCCTACACATTCTCACCTACAGGACTCACGGAATTGCTAGGAGCTTGTAAAAAGCATGGATTAGCAGCTTCCAGTTGCCTGGGACTGTGGAGGGGCAGGAGAGGGTCTCGGATGACCCAGACCACGGAGCAGGCCCAAGTCCTGCTGCCTCTGCTTAGCAGTGGTTATGGCTCCAGCAAAAAAAAAAAAAAAAAAAAAAAAAAATTCATCCCCAAAAAAGCCACATAACACCACCTCCCCAAAGTGTCTGATGATTTATACTGAGTAAACAGAAAAGAAGGCAGATTTCATTAATCTTAATAAACGGGCATTGCTTTGAGAGAGGAAGGAGTTGGTAAAAAAAAAAAATTGTAAAAAAAAAATGGTTGTGCATCTACTTGTAAGATTACATTAAACATTAAACTAAGCACAGTCTATTTAAAGTGCAGCTTTTGGATCTAAACTTAAGTAGCACTGTTAAAACCTGTGGCATAGCAGTGTGTCTTATTCAAAGTTTAATTAGATTTTGGAACTAGCTACAAATACACAATTATGCAGTTTTGCTGGAATGGGATGGCTGGTGAAATTCAAGAAGGAGAAGAACGTTCTGTACCAGGGCCCTCAGAGGACTGCATGGAGATTGGGTTCAACCAAACATCCCTATTTTCCTATGAATATTTTATAGGAATGATGGCTAGCATTTATGGAGTGCTTACTCAGGGCTAAGCAATTACGTACAATTTCTCATCTGTGCTTCCCAAAATAGCCTTCCTTTTCCAATTCCACAGGTAATACAACCAAGCGAGTGGCGGAGTGCAGCTCTGCGCACCAAGTGGTGGGCTCCAGGGCCCACCGCATCAGCCATTCTGGAATGTCTTCTCGATTCCATGAGATGACAGCCACACTTCTACCCTCACTCCAGCAAAGTGATCGCCAGGCCTGGCAGGTGTCTGGGGCTTTGCTTGCGTGTGGAATGACTGGGATACATTGCTGGTAATCATCATACAGGATGCTGGGAGGTAAACGGCTCTCCTAAAATGCTAAAAGGCTTCTGAGGATGGGGCTGGCGCTGTGGTACAGTGGGTTAAAGCCCTGACCTGAAGCGCTGGCATCCCATATGGGCACTGGTTCGAGTCCCGGCTGCTCCACTTCTGATCCAGCTCTCTGCTATGGCCTGAGAAAGGAGTAGAAGATGGCCCAAGTCCTTGGGCCCCTGCACTCATGCGGGAGACCCGGAAGAAGATTCTGGCTCCTGTCTTCAGATCAGCTCAGCTCTGGCCATGGCGGCTATTTGGGGAGTAAACCAGCGGATAGAAGGCCTCTCTCTCTCTGTCTCCACCTCTCTCTGTAACTCTTTCAAATAAAAAAAATAAGTCTTTACCAAAAAAAAATGCTCTGAGGACCTGGAAGCACTTTGTTCTCCTCCCTTTACGTTTTCTTAAATGCCTGGGCTCTGGCTGTTCAGGATGTTAAAGGTCTCAGACGGTGGGCTCCCTTGCCAAGTCTCCTCCGAGGAAACTGTAAATGAGTGACCTTCGCAAAGGCCAGTGAGCGCCAAGCCCATTTTTACTACGCCGGGAAGGACCAAGACTAAACACAGTCAAATGCTGACACCACGGAGCACTCGGGACGGAGCCGGCAAAGACATCGGCGTCTGCTAAAAATAACCGCCTATTGTCTTACCAGTGACACTGCCGAGGGACCTGACACTTACCCGGAGGAAGCCGGACAGGCAGACGGACATCCAGTTGGTGAGCAGTTTTTCGACCACGGACTCTGTGCGCCTGAGCATGAGTTTGGGCTGCAAGTTACTGGACTGCTCCATCAGATCCCGGGTCAGCACCTCCAGGATGCTGGTCAGGTAGACCAGCTTGGTTTGCAGTGCGATGGTTAAGAAGGAGGCAAACAGGCACCTGTTTAAACACAGAGCCCAGATTAAACCATCAGCCCTGGTGAGCCTGGCTGGACGAGGGAGCCGTTTCATTGGGCGCGCACTGGGCAAGGGAGGCTGTCGTCTTGCGTGATTTTTTTTTTTTTTTTTTTTTGATGTTTAGATTCTGACCACTTCTGTTCTCAAGTCATAAAACCACAGTCACTGTTACCATCGGGAGGTTTTCTGTGTTTTCAGCTCTTACACTAGGGGAGAGACCAGAAGTGAGTCTTGAATTTTCGGGGTATTTTTAAAATTAAAAATAACACTTCTGCTTTTTTGATGAAAAATATATGGTTTTTGCTGCTGTCGGGGTTTTTCAGGGTTTGTTCGGGGGAAGCAGCGTGGTCTTCAAATTAGGATTGGTGGGGATGGGGTGGGCGGGTGCCGTGTGAACTGGAGCTGTCACGCTGCAAAAGCAGCCAACCAGCATGCCTCAGGGAGGGTGTTTGTCAAGGTCGAGAGGTGGTTTGGAAATAAAAGAAGGGGCTGGGACCTCCTTAGCTCCACAGAAGGCTTTTTCAATTTAGAAAAGAAAGCAGTAATACCTGTCCTTGACTGAGAAGTTCTTCTGCTTTTCAAGGGTGTGGATGACCGTAACAAGGAAACTCTTATTACAGATGAGAGCGTCCAGAGCTGTGAGGCTTTCACTCTTGTCATTGGCGTCTCTGTTCTGGAGGGGAAAAGGAAAGACTAATTCAATAGAGAGTGATATGATCTAAGTTGAAAGTCACAGAGTAGATACACAATGGCTTCTCCAAGACAATGAATTATTTAGTACTGAGGTCAGGGATCCCAAAAAACCCACAATACAAACTCAAAGTCGAACCGATGGGGATGACAATGACGACGACCACACTGGGCTAGAATGAAACGTAGAGACTTACATGCATATCTTCGGTGAAGATGTGGGTGAAGCCGCCTGACTGTGAGGAAGGAGACAGGTTCATTACTCAATAGCCGAAGGAAGCAGGGATACAATCTGCAAGTCCATTTGCATAAAGCAGAGATGCTCTTTGCCCATCTGAAGAACCCCTGGGCTAATGCTTTCTGCACCTCCCCTGACTTACAATCAACAATGATTCAGCTCTCAGGAGCCACCAGTGAATTCTGGAGGCCTCTGAGGACAGCAGTCATCTGGCCCAAAAGTTCACTGTTGGTAGATGAAGGTATCATCTCACTCTTTTAAAAAGGAGGTGGTCCTTGGAGAAGATTCTGCAAATATCAGACCACTCCCCAAGCATTTCCCCCTACGGCGAAACACTGACTCCTGTTGACAGATTTTGCCCTGTGTCAGCTTAGTAGCATCTGCCGTCTCCATGCATTTCATGATTCCAGAGGGCATGGGGTGGGGGTGGGGGGGTGAAAGGCATGGAATCTGGAGCCACATTTGCGGGGTTCCAGTCCTGGTTTTGTGACATTCTCGTTACCTGACGGACAACATCTCTGTGCCTGGCCATCTGCACATGTGAAATAGGACAAGAGGAGCCAATGTTGGAATGCAGTGGGTTAAGCTGCCAACTCTGGCATCCCAATGAGTTCAAATCCTGGCTGCTTTGCTCCACTTCCGATGCAGCTTCCTGCTAATGTGCCTGGGAAAGTAGAGGAAGATGGCCCAAGTGCTTGGGCCCCTGCACCCAGATGGGAGACCCGGAAGAAGCTCCTGGCCATTGGCCATTTCAGGGAGTGAATCAGTGGGTAGAAGATCGATCTCTCTCTCTTTCTAACTCTTCCTTTCAAATAAATAAATCTTAAAACACACCTCTGTGAACTACTATTGTTGTATTTATCCCCTGATTTATAGCAAACTACACCATAATGCTGTTGCCCTACTGATGTCTTTTTCTTTTTAAAAAAGATTTTATTTATTTATTTATTTGAAAGGCAGAGTCACACATGGAGAGGGAAAGAGAGAGAGAGAGAGAGGAAAGGTGGGAGGGAGGGAGAAAGACATCTTCCATCTGCTAATTCACTTCCCAAATGCCTACAAGGCCAGGGATAGTACAGGCCAAAGCCAGGAGCCTAGAATTCCATCTGGGTCTTCCACATGAATGGCAGGAGCCCAAGCACTCGGGACCTTTTCTACTGCTTTCCTGGGCACATTAGTAGGGAGCTGGATCAGAAGTGGAGCTGCCAGGTCTCAAACCGGCACCCATAGGGGATGCTGGCATTGCAGGCAGCGGCTTAACCTGCTGTGCCACAAGTCTGGCTCCTACCCCACTGGTTTCTAAAAAATCTTTTATGTACTACTCTATTTTGTTGCTCCTGACTATCAACTTTGTTTTAAAATTATTTATTTATTTATTTGAAAGGTAGAGTTACAGACACAAGGAGAGACACAGAAAGAGAGACCCTCCATCTGCTGGTTCACTCCCCAAGTGGCTGCAACAGCTGGAGCTGAGCCTATCTGAAGCCAGGAGCCAGGAGCTTCTTCCGGGTCTCCCACGCTGGTGCAGCAGCCCAAGGACTTGAACCATCTTCCCATCTTCCACTGCTTTCCCAGGCCATAGCAGAGAGCTGGATCAGAAGAGGAGCAGCTGGGACACGAACTTGTGCTCATATGGGACGCAGGTACCACAGGTAGAGGCTTAGGTCACTATGCCACAGCGTCGGCCCCCTGAATATAAACTTTTAAATTTGCGGGTTTTAAAAATGTATCATAAATCTTATAGGAATTAATGATTACATTTTGAAAGCATGTTGAGTCATACTTTAAATGAGTCAACAGAATAAAAATATAAACTCAAAAATCCAGGTTTTCCTAACATTGGGGGTAGTAGTGGAAATGGGGGACTAATTTTATATCTTAGCAAATTTCTTCTACAGAGAATTTTGCTTCTTAATTTCCAATTTGTTAGCCCAAACCAAAGACCTCACACTATTTTGGTCCTAGTCTGCCCTGGGAAAAGCAAAAGATCAGAGCAGGTGTTGGGCGCAGCTGCTAAGCTGCGGCTTCCGTGCCTGCATCCCACACAGGACGGCCTGGGTTGGAATCCCGGCTCTGCTTCTGACCCAGCTTCCTGCTGGTGCGCACCTTGGGAAGTAGCAGGGGATGGCTCAAGTACTTGGACCTCTGCCACACACATGGGAGACCCAAACTGAGTTCCAGGCTGTGGGCTTTGGCCAGACCTAGCCCTGGCCATTGTGGGCATTTGTGAACTAAGCCAGCAGATGGGAGAGCGCTCTCGCTCTTGCTCTCTCTTTCTCTCTCTGCTTTTCAAATTAATTAACTAAAACAACAGAAAAATATCTGACTTTGCATTTTCTAGTTCCCAATATTTTCAACTTCATGTAAATGAGGCTGATTATCCACCTTAACTAGGGAAAAACCCTCCTACTTCTGTGTTCTAAGGCTCTTTCCCCCTTTTTCTTCAAATTTCCCTCTTCCAGGAGGTCAGATCCTCTTTCTATCCCATTTTTGGCAAAACAGAGAAGAATCAACATAATGAAAAGCAAGGTTTTAAAAGCCCAATCAACAGGCAGGGCAGAGAAGCAGGGGGCTGGCCATCCCCTGGCTGGCTTTCCTCTGGGTGTTGCCTCTTGCTCTCTGGGAGGTGTCAGAGCCTCCCCTTCACCTGGGCTCCGGGTCAGCCAGTGACTGGTCTGCGCACTGGGAGGACTGAGCTGCAGCCTGCAGTGCGCTTCGCGGGGCCCTCTCACATCCGCGTGTCCCTGATGGCATCTCTGTACGGACTGGGGTTTCTGGGCAGGCTTGTGTCTCCTGCATCCTCTGCTTGAACGACTCCTTCTGACTTCAATTTGTATAGCTTTCCCAGTTGCCTTTCAAGCTGATACATAACCCAGAGTTAAATCAGTTTGGCTCCTTGCAACCATCTCTCCTAAAATAACAGAGCCTTGTGCCTGGGAGTTTTTAATACGCAACTTCCTGCAGTCATCTTGACATTCCTCACTCTGTCTTGCTCTTGATGAGAGGACTGAGGAGATAGGAGAATTTCTCGTTCAGGCCACAGGTTGCTCTCTTCAGCACTCAAGGGCGGTCATTAATTGAAAAAGCCCACACGGTACTCATGGCAATGGTGGAAATCTCCAGGATTTTATTGCTATTAAATTCTTAATGGGGACCTCAGAGAGCTGGGAAACTGGACTTGTAATGCAAGCTTCGTGGAGGCCCTGCGCAGCAAGCCTGATTCAGCGACCTGGACCTCCCCCACCCCCCCCTTCCCAGGGGCAGTTCTGTCTGCCGTGGGGCCAGACGAGGGGCACGTGGCAAGTCCTGGTGCCAGCCCCTCTTGGAGGATGTTAAGAGAAACAACAACAACAAGAACACAACACAAGGACAAGAAGTTGACATCTTATTTATAGCCTTCTCGATTTACAGTGCTAAAGCTTGGATGAAAAAAAAGATGGCAGGTGTTTTGCGGCGGCGGCCCAGCCTCCAGACACAGCAGCGCACACCATGGTGTCCGCCTGGAGAATTTTAGGAGCTGGAAGTCGCTCACTGCGTGTGTCTGGGTTTCTGAACTCCGGCCAGTGTAGCAGGGAAGCTTTTGCTAAGGTGAGGCAAGCTCTCCTTTGGCCTGGAGAGACTTCCGGCTTTGCTGGGCAGTCTAGACTGAAATAGGAGAACTGGTGTTGATGTGTTCCAGAGGTTGGGTCTCTCGGTGGCCATCAGTTCCAGACCAAAAAATAAAAATAAAAAATAAAAAAGTGAGGGAGGGCAACATGGTGGAGTTGGGGTGCCGGGATGTGGGGGTGATGAGACGGAAGATGACCTCACCAAAGACTCGGGAGGGTACATGAAGAAGGCTGAGCGATCAGGTGAGAAAATGGAGGTGTCAGAACATGGGTGAGACCAAAACTCCAAGGACTCTAAGGAGTTCTGGGACAAATGAATCATTTCGTGCAGCTCGTTCCACTCAGTGAGAATGATACCAACTGGTCAGCTAAGAAAAAACTGCCAAAGAGAACCAGAGAGACCCTCCATGGCTACACATGCCCGTTAAAAATCAACTCCAATTGCACACAGGTGCACTTCCCTCCCTCTCGGCCGGGAGTACTTCTTGTTTCCAAGTGAGAAGTAATAGTGAGTGATCTGGTAGCTGCGATGGAAGTCATGCAGATAAACACAACAAATTGGCCAGCCGGCAATTTATTGATCTTTAAATAAATTAGCTCACTTCCCAGCTACAAATTCAGTTCCACACTGGTAAGAAAATAAGGCAAAAATTCATCCCTCTGAAGTTCTGTGCCCCCTAGGGTTTTGCTACTGGACAAGGACTAATCGCTGGCGACCCATCGCTGTCTGCTACCCTACCCCATGCAATTAGCAATTCTCCTCCTGCCTGCTCTGCTCCAACTTCAGCCAGTGAATTCTGCACCAGGCATCTGAGCCCCAGCTGCCTTGGAAGCAAGCACCCATTCTCGGAGAGCAACAAGCACCTTCATTATTATTCCAGAGTCAACCTCAGGAGTATGATCAATGCTCTTTTACCTCGGGGAAGAAAGTCCTCAGAGCAAAATGTTTGTAGTCAAGGAAGGGAACAGTTCCAAAACTATCAACCACGTCCAATTTATCCATCTGCAGCTCAGCAAAGCCTGCAAAACAGAATCCCAAGAGCAATATTTTAATTCAACAAACAATGGAGAAGATCTTCTGCTGTTTTGTCTAACAGGGAGTATGACCTTGGTTTGCATTAAAGAAGAAACAATGGATAATTACTTGGTTGGCTGCAGAGAAGAGCTGAAAGGAAACAAAAAGGCAGGCCCGGGCCCTGCTGTTCAGTTGTCTTCTGTTCTACCAACACTTCTCGTTACCCTGGCCGGGTTTTTTTCACTTACAGGCAAAAATATAAAAATAAAGAAAGGCTTGTTTTGTACAAATAAAATTTGGGCGCTTACCATCACGGATCTCTTTGCGGAGCTCGCTCTCCAGTAGCTCCAGCTGTTGGCTCTGCTTGCGACTCAGCTCCTGGGATTTGTGCCGGGTCACCCCCACGGCCGCTGGGGAGAGAGAGAGACGCTCTGGTCAGAGGGACACGTGGACTCAGAAAGACAAACAACAGTGCAGACCAAGCTTTACCGCTGGCTCAATCAATAAGAGAAAGAGGGAGGAGCGTGTTTGAGAGCGGGGTCGATGGGGAAACTGGAAAACTGTGTTTAAGAGCTGCATTTTATAAAAAGAAAATTTCCCATGAAGAGGCCACTCTAAGAGGAAGATGCTAAAATACAACATTAAAAAAAAAATCCACTCATCTTAAAAGGGAAAACTAAATCAAATAACCTTCACTTGTAACCAAAGATCCCAGTTGGCTGAAAAGTAATGAAATCAGCCCAGTTGCCCCGCAGCCACAGGCCACTCATATTGTTCCATTCTTTTTCTGATGTTTCTAAACATCCCTGGAGAAATAAGGCTGTGCTGCAGATGCAGAAAGAAACCTCAGGTCCACACAGCGGGCTGCACTCGCGCAAGCCCAGCTCGCCTCGCGCTAACGGGGCGCCATGAGCTGGGAGCTGCCAAGATCGGGCTGCTCCTGCCACCTGACTTCGCTTCTCATTGTGCTGGCAAGGCAGTACACGGAAGGGAGCTGGTGCTTGGGCTCAGGTCCCTGCTCTGTCATGTGCGAGCTGGGTGACCCCCCGGGAAGTTCTTCGCATCTCTGTGCGCGGCTGCTTTATCTGTCCGAGTGCCCGCCTCATCGGGATGCTGGCAGACGGACAGTAAGTAAGTTACAGAAAACAGAGAGAACTCACACTTGAAGAAAAGTAAGTACTTGACAACCAAGGACCATTACTCCTTGAGTTGCCCCTCTTCTAACAGCGATTACATGACACAAGCACTCTGCTACCTTACACGTAAATGATGTGGGGAGAAACAAAGTCAATTATGGTCCTTCACTGGACCCGTTCACACAGCACGCTCTGTGCACTTCCCGGAAAGTGTAGGATGTCAGTGGTTCCCAAACTTCCTTGCCCGTGGGACCCCCCTTTTCAGGGGTGTCACCTGGCACCATGGTTGCTCAGGCTGCCCTTTGGGCAACCCTGGTTCACACACGCCAAGGAAGCTGGGAGGTTGCGGCCATAATGCAGGGAGTTTTTCCACAGCAGACGTCTCTGGGGGACATCTCGGAGGTGGCAGGCCCCGGGCCAGCTGGGACCGACTGCAGGTGCGGGTTGCACACTCCTGCCTGGAGTCACCGCAGGGAGGGGACCAGGAGGGCAAAGGGCTCTGCAGATCCAAGTGCAGTCAAGAGCCCTGTGTCAAAGCCAAGCCCAAGCCACCTTCAAGGGCAGCAGCAATCCCCGCAAAGTGGAGGGAGAGGCACAGAGAGCCCCGGATGGGCAGGGAGAAGCGGGCAGCTTCCCGGGACGCCCCTAAGTAGACGCGGCTCCTGGCCAGGCTGGCACAGGTCGTTAAGAGCCCCGCGGGTCTAGCCTGTGTGGGTAGCCTCCTTTCTCAGAGCCGACAGCAGCCAGGAGTAGATGGAATTGCCAAGCCTGATTCTGGATTGCAAATATACAACAGGGGTGGGCAACTCGGGGGAGGGCATTATAAAAAAAAATCTGAAGTGATCATCCGCAGGGCAAAACGGGGTGCCGGCAGAGCGAATTCATCACATTAAGCCAGTTAATTACACACATAAATCTTTCCCTCACTGGACTGTGAACAACGCGAGGGGAAGGGCCGGGCCTTAACTCATCTCTAGATCCAGAGATTGGCACAGCTGTAGCAGCAGCATAACAGATGCTTAGTAAACAAGAGACGGATGAATGCAGGAAGGAGTGAACGAATGAGAGGAGGAGGCTATGGAAGAAAACAGTAGCATCTGCCTCCATTCGCCTAAAACGTTACAGCACGAATGGCTGCGTCCAATCAAAGGACACGAAGGGCCAGCTTTGCTGGTGGAGGGAATTCTTTTTTCAACGAAGGATGGGGGGAAACAGAAATGAAAGGCAGCTCAGAACCAGAGGTTGCAAACCAAATGGCCACAGGAACCAGACACTCAGATGGATCAAGTAGTCTGGAAGAAGCTAATAGGGAGCGGTGGAGACTGTGGTGAACACCCAAGGAGCACACGGCTTGTCTGGGAGGGCAGCTGCCTCTCGGCTCCAGTAAACTGACGCTGTGGAAAAACTGAGATTCATGGATCCCAATCTTGCAAACTGTCGAGAGATTTTTTTTTTTTAATATAAATCATCTAATTTTCAAATGTTGTCAGCTTCTCTCAGACTTGAAGAAACGTCCTGTGGCCAAATAAAACCCAACAGTGGACCACATGGGTCAAGGGGGATCAGCAGGGGATTTCGGCACGCTGGGGAGCCTGGGAACGTGTCAACAGGTGACCCCGATTTCACGTCTAACATCTGGTTCTGCCGGGGAAGGCAGGGCTGAGGTGGAAGTGGGAGGCAGCGCCTGCTGAGGGGAGAAGGTGGGAGGAGGGGACCCAGCCCTGGGAGTCTGGAACCCCAGAGGAATTCTAAGAGAATGACCCAAGCGGGCATCTGCGGCCGTGGCCCAGGCCAAGTGGAGTCTGGTCCTCACACCCCAGGACCCCATCTTTGAAATGCACTCTTGTATTCACGAGGCCTCCTTAAAAATGTGCAGAAAGCGCTCAGCCTTCCCCAGAGTTCTGATCTGAGTTCTCCCCCGTTCACACTCAACGGCAGCAGAGAGCCTGAGAGAGGCCGCTGGGGAGGATTCTTTTGGCCAAACTACACAGGGCACTTACCAAAAATGACGATCACCAGCAAGACGGGGAGCACGATCAGAAAATACCACGTGGAGGGGACCGACTCCTGCTCCACAAACAGCTCCAGGTTCCCCAGCTTGACCTGCAAGGACAGACAGCATCACCAGACCCCACGGAGCCGGGGCCCCCACGATGCGTTCCACCCGAGCCGGAGCCCGGGGAGATGGCTGAGCTCCAGTCCCCTCCGGGGACAGAAAGGAACAGCCCAAGGGCCTAGGACCAATCGGGAGGAGGCAGCCCGAGGGTGAGCAGAACCCCCACCCTTGCTTCCCAGGGAGCAACCCAACTCTTGCCTCCTCCTCTCCTTGCACAGTTAGGGTAGGCTTATTTTGAATAACACACCCTGTGGTAAAAGCCATGTGGGTCGTGCTGACCCAATGACCCCTGAGGGACTTTTTCAGGCTTAGCATGCTTGCTTGCTTGCTTGCTTGCTTTTCTTTGAGATTTTATCTATTTATTTGAGAGGTAGAGTTACTGACAGAGAGAGGGAGAGAGAGAATCTTCCATCTGCTGGTTCACTCCTCAAATGGCCCCAATAGCCAGAGCAAAGCCAGGAGCCAGGAGCTCCTTCTGGGTCTCCCATGTGGGTGCAGCGATCCAAGGACTTGGGCCATCTTCTACTGCCTTCCCAGGCCACAGCAGAGAGCTGGATAGGAAGTGTAGCAGTTGGAACTCAAACAGGTGCCCATATGGGATGCTGGCGCTGCAGGTGGAGGCTTAAGCCTACTACACCACAGCGCTGGCCCCTTAGCTTGCTTTCTTTGTCGTTAGAAAAGTTCCCTGAAACTTGGAAGGGGTAGACCTGTGCATCCAACCTTCTTCTGCCACTGATGGACACGTACACACAAAGGCACAGTTCCCTCCTGGGAACCATGGCTGCCCATGGCACCGCGGACACATCAGGCAGGCTGCTGCTTCGTGACCTTTGTCTAGACCTTCTACCCTGGCCAGCGCTCCACTTTCTCCCTCCCTGGAGGCCCTCCGTAGGCGTTCTCTGGCCACCGTGATCAAACAGGTGGCCCTGGGCGCCATGTTGCTCCATTTATCTCTGCAACCATCACCACCTCCTACCACACTTTTTCTCTTCCTTTCTTTACCAGGAGTCTCTTTAGGTAAGCAACTTCCTGGCGGGGCTTGTGGCTCCGCTGCTTCCTGCTGTACTGCCGCCACAGCGCAGACCCTCAGGAGCCAGAGAGTCAATGAAGAATGCAAGACCTAGCCCTTTGCCGCTGCCATGGAAGCGGAGCCCGCCGCCTGCTACCGTGGCGTTTCTCTCCGCCAGTGTCCCTACACTGCACATGTGGCCCAGGGAAGCTTCAGGAAGCCCACAGTCTTCCCACGGTCACACAGCTGTCCCCTGCCACAGCCGGGACAGGAACACATGTTTGCTGTGACTTCTAGTCTGATCTCCTTCGGCCTTGTCCTTGACCCAATTATTTAAGACTCCAGATCATAAAGCATTTTTTATGGACACTGTGTGGAGCCCCGCAGGGCATGAACACGAGAAGGTGCGTTCTGATCAGTTTCCCTTCTCCCTGGTCTCCCAGCTTTATTGTGGGACATAAATTTCCCAGTGATGGGTCCTTCTAATGTGTCTGGGAAAAGATTCATCCCAGAAAGCAGGACTTCAGGGGGCGAGGGGGAGGGAGAAGCAGCCCATGACCCTGGGATTATCTGGTCGGTGTCAGACCCTAAAGCTGCCCTGAGTGTGCACACGAGCTCCTGTTTTGGGCTTTGACTAAGACCTGTCACCTCCACGTTTGGGAACAGAAAGACAGTTCATTCATCGACGGGTCTGCAGACTGAGCTGCAGATGCTACGGGCTCAATCTATGGCGAGAACAAAAGCTATCAAGGCTCATTGGTATCGCAGACAATGGTGTGTTCAATGCTGTGACACGGAGAGAGACGCCCGGGTGGATTCTGCCAGCTCGTTCGTTTGGAGGCGCTCGCTGTGCTTGGGCGTGCAGCACCAGCTCTGTCCTTCTTCTATTTAAAGTGAGGATGTAAACATCCAGGGAAGATCGCACCCTGCCTCGGGGTTAGCCAAGGAGTTATCCAAAACCCGGCGCAGAAGCGAGCAAGGGGTACTGCCCGTGACTTACGCGAACTTTCCTGGACGAGGTGGCGATGCTGTTCGCCGCAGTGATGTCTTTGACTTTGCAAAGAATGGTGGTGAGATCCTGGTTTCTCGTAATGTTTTCAAAACTGCAATTCAACTGCCCGTTTTCCCCGTGGAAGAGGGTAATCTCAATGTCTCGCTTAGAAATGTTGAAGTTGTCATTTTCTTTCTGTGAAGAAGAAGAAGAAGAAACCGAAGAAGAAGAAGACATCAGGGCCCAAGTGTGAGCCCACCTTGCCTGTCCAGGGGGCCCGGGACCACCCCCATCCCCCGCCAGCCCACAGAAGAAACGTACTTGAATTTTTACTGCCAATTCTGTGTCCACCTCCGAATCCACTCGGTACCCTGTAAATCGGGGGTCCTCGAGGTACTGCAAGGTCCCACAGTCCAGGTAAGTGTCTTGCACTCTCAGCTTCACCGTGACATTCGTGCGCGCTTTTGCGCTCTTTAAATTGGGGGCTAAAAACCTGCAGTGAGTCGTCACGCAGTACTCAGAGACCTGGGAGAGAAGCAAAAAGCATTGAAAAACCTTGCCGAAGTGCCTTGGCTCTTGTCTCTTAAAGAGCCACGAGACCGGTGCAGCCCGACTTCTAGAAAATGGGAATAGTGACGCTAACCACTCAGGGGCCTAACAGGAACTTACAGGAAATGAGAGAGGGGCTCACCCCATGAAGTGGGGGTTACACTGCACGCGATGACGCATGCGGAAGTGTCAGAATAGCACACGGTAACCCTCCACACACGCTGTTCGTATTGCTGCTGCTATTGACGATGGAAACCATCAGCAAGTTCTCCCATAGAAGAAGCTATGCAGGAACAAGGCAGGTAGTGAAGAAGGAAGACACTGGCTCAAAGGACTTCTGCGTCCCTGGAGCCAGCATGGTGGAGACCTGGGGAGCTATGGGAAGGGAAGAGCCAGCCCCTGACCTGCCTCTGTTGGGGAACCTCCTGCGGGCTTGGGCAGAAGTCACTGACCACAAAGAGGAAAGGCTGTTCAGGCATTAACAGCAAACAGGAGAAAGCAAAAGTAAAAGGGACAAGGAGTCCCCCAAGAGGAGACCGCGGAGATGGGGAATGATGCAGAAGGTATAGCCTCACCTACGGGTGTATTTTAACAACCCACAAATACACCAGCATTTGCAGGGGCCCGGGGCCCGGGGAGAGGAGGTGGGCAAATGCCTGAAGAGCAACTGCCCTTTTCTTCCTGAGGTCGCTGCCTAGAGGAGGGGCAGGGAGATGAGAGGCCGCGGGGGGCAGAGGCTGGGACAAGCAGGACCTGCTTGCCACCCTGGCGCCTCCCACGCTGTGGCTGCCACCAGGGTGGAAACCACAGCGGTCCTCCACGGCCACCGCGCCTGCAGGCTGGCCTTCACAAGGACGTCTTCTAGAAAGATCACGGCTCAGCAACCCCCAGTCCCGTTCTCCGCAAGGCACTACACCTTCACACCAGTGACCAACTCCTACCACCCAAAACGCTCTTTGTGGGTTTTCCAAGCAGCCACCTCTCGCGGCCACCCTGTTCTCTTTCTTCTGCCCGGTCCCAGCCTAAGCGTTCTTTTCTCCTTCCTTGGTGCTCTCACTCCAGCCATGTTGCCCCGCTTTTCCTTGAACGATCTCCCCACGCAGACAAGCCTCAGCACTGCCCACCACTCCAGATCTGTCCAGGGAGGAGCTCAGCGGGGGGGGGCCGGCCTGCCTCTGAAGCCCACCTGGCACAGGAGGCCAACACTGACATTTATTATTTCTTTTGAAAATCAGAGTTACAGAGAGAGATCTCCCATCCACCGGTTCACTCCCCAGGTGACCATAATGGCCAGCACTGGGCCAAGCCGAAGCCAGGATGGGCGCAGGGGCCCAAGGACTTAGGTGAACTTCTGCTGCTTTTCCCAGGCCATTAGCAGAGAGCTGGATCGGAAGTGGAGCAGCCAGGACACAAACTGGTGCCTATATAGGATGCCAGCATTGCAGGCAGTGGCTTTACCTGCTATGCCACAATGCTGGCCTCCGGCAAACTATTTTGTTCACAGTGGGTGCTCCATAAATTCTACTTGACCCGGGAGTAGCATCTGAGAAGGACAGCAAGGCCACTGACAATGCCTCTGAACACAGGGTCATTGCATAGTCATCCAAGTGTGCAGCATGGGAATACGGCACTGCACGAGGCTGGGCACCGGCTCCGAAAGGGCGTCAGGAGGCTAGCGCGTGCAGGACGAAGCTGTGAGGCTGACACATTCATTGGCAAGCATCTGGTTACCCAGGCCCAAACCCACACTGGTCCCAGACAGGGACAGGTCTGTGGCCACGCTGAGATCTTCCGGCCTGGCGGGAAGTGGTCAGGCAGGGCTGCTCCTCTCACAGCGCTCATCAAGGAAAGGGGAAGAAAGAATGAGGAAGACATACAGGAAGGCTTTAGAAGTGCACTCGGGGGCCCCAACCTGTAACTGAAGTCCCTCTTCCCGCCTCTGACTCCTGGCATCAGCAGCTTCCATTGGAGGCTCCCAAGCACATCATGAGTCTCTGATGAGAGCAGGGAGCTGCAGGTGGGAGCCAGAGCCTAACACGGTTTCCACTGTGGGGAGACCAAAGACAGAGGAGGCCCAGCAGATGGGGTCCACGGGGCAATGGCAGGAGAAGGCAAGGTCTGTGGCAAGATTTCTGGGCCTTGAACAAGTCACCTAACCTGGGGGCTGGGAACCACACACACACACACACACACACACACCCCGCTCGGCACAGCAATGCCACCTTCTTGACCTCACACCCCAGCCCTGCAGAAAACGATCTCACACAGACTCCTAGGCACAGGCGGATCAGAGACCAGCCACAAGCCACAGCAGGAAAAGACGGCCTCTCTTGTCATGCCAAGTTCAGTTCTCTTTCCTCTGTGCCACAGCTTGCAGGATTCAAGTACAAGTGTAAGGTCTTGCTCATCTATCATGCAACAGGTAAATGATTATAATATCAGAGAAATAAAAAACAGCCCCCAAAATGGTTTCGTGCGATAAACACATCATCCCTGAGAATCAGACTTACGTTTATGTTCCCTTTTAACTCATGAGAAATGATTAAGTTGTCAATGACATCAAAATTTCTGCCCATGATGGTGATATTTTGACCACCACTGCAAGGAAAAAAAGGATCAGTAAGAGCGTCACAGTAAACACACAGGCATTTTGCATTTCAGAACCAAGCTATCAGCTGATTTGCATTTAATGCTAAACTCAGTAGGGTTTGAGAGAAAATGAACTGATTGTAATTTCAAACACAGGACAGTTTTACAAGTCTGAAGGATCCTGGCTGCAAATTCATGATCTTTAAGACATATAAATATAAAAGTTAAGGTCAGATCTTACTTTAAATGACTACACTCTTTAACATCTGGGCTGTTTTGCCACATATAATCAGATCATCACCTGCACCTTGAAAAGGTGTCAATAAACAGAATTTTGTTTGATTGCTGTTTAATCTATATGAAGATTCTTCAATCTAACCATTTTCAAAATCAAACACCCAACCTACCAATTACAGTTTATTTAGGGAGACAGGGAACACGTTAGATAAGGTGAAATTATGAATGACATTAAAGATTTAAATTCCTATTTGGTAAACTAATGACAGCTGCATTTCTCCCTCCAAAATGTGGCCAAGCAGCTTCCGGTCCTCTCGGCTCCCCATCACATACGCCACAGTGGTCCTTGGTTGTGACATTAACAGCTGTCCATAGCTCTGGCTTTGCTTGTGCCCCGATCACAGAGGTCATTCGTTCTAGAGGACAGGAGCCCGGGGCATGTTAGGTCCAAGGGATGGCCAGTCCCCTGATGACAAGACCAGGAGGTAGGCATGAGCAGGTGAATCGTGTAGGGCAGAGAGAACAGGCGCAGGGCATTGGACACTCGCCACCCCCAGCCCCCAGCTGCAAGGGAGCAGGGCAGAGCTGACTTCCTGCCAAGCTCTGGACTTCACTAGAAAACCAAGCCAAGTTGTCCTGCTGATGGCCAGACTGCAGGGCCACATCCTTGCTCCGAGCACAGCGCCCAAGGCTCGGAACATCGCAGTAAGGAGCCTCTGAGGTCATAACAAAGCAGGGCACTGTGGTGCTGGCTCAGGCCACGACACACTGCCTCGCACCTGGGGCAGCCTGTCTGAACCTTCTCTGGGCCTCTGTTTCCTCCTCTACCAAAGGGACAGCCCAGAGTGGAGCCCTTGGGCTTGCCATGAGAGCAGACCCAGTCCACAGATGGAACACACCAGACATGCAGCGAGTGCTGCACCAACATCTGACTTCATTTATAGGACAGAGTTAGCCCCAGAGCGGGGGGCAGTGGCATGTGAGAGCCTTGGTTTTGAGATTTCGGTGTTCCCGACGCCACTGTCACGGGCCGAACCAAACTGTGCACCTGCAACATTTGTAGGCGGAGGCCCTCCTCTCCAGTCCTCCAGTAATTCAGACGGGGACTGTAGTTGGAGACAGGGACTTTAAGGAGGTGACTAATGTAAAGCGAGGATGGATGGCTGGGCCCAGTGGGCTCTAGTTCAAGGCCGGGGCCCTCTGAGTAGGGATTCCGATGCGAGGACACAGGGAGGGGACAGCCATCTAAGAGCCAGGCCCAGAGGCCTCTACAGAAACCACCCTGCCACCACCTTGACTGCACCTTTCCTAGGAGGAAGCCCACTTCCGTTGTGGAAGGGGCGCAGTCTGTGGTGCTCTGTATGGCAGGCCCAGCCAACCACAGCAGTCACCTCTCGCTTCATCTTACAGATCGGAAGGTCACAAGGGATTTTGCTCCGTTTTCTTTTTTTTCTTTCTCTAAACAGGGCTTTGTAGCTTTAGGTGAGAGTGTTTTGGAAATTAGCTTCATACTGTGTTAGGTGAAGAAAATAGGGTTCTAGGACAAAATCTGAATGTGAATTTAAATTAACTAGGGAGAGATTTTTTAAAAGTTGGCTTTCTCTGGAGGAGTTTCCTTTGGAATCTCCAGTCCTCACTTAGGAAGCAGCTGTGAAATGCACCTGCTTACCATAGAGGTTATAAAGACAGAAGGAAGAGGCCTTTTATCGGGCGCACAAGGGACACGTGGTAGGCAGGGTGACAGATGTGTGTTAGAAACCAGGCTAATAGTTACCATGGTTGTGGGAACATTTGAGCCGTGAGCTTCCTGGTAGCCACGGCTAAGAGGGAAACAGGCTATGCTGATAGTGTTGGCCGTGCTCGGGCGAAGCATCCAGCTCGACAGGCATGCATTCTTCCAGCAAAGAATCCTTAGGGGGATTCTGGGAGAAGCGCTTAAATAAGACTCTCACTTCCGCATTGGTCTCCGGGAAATCCACAACTGTTGTGCACAGGACTCTTAACCACAGTGGGAGAGAAACGCTGGGAACGTGGAAGTACCTGATCCAGGTGGTGGCAGGAAATAGCAGGGAGCAGTGCGGGAGGGCGATGTAGGACAGGGGTCCCACGGGAGAGCAGTTCCCACCATCGAACTGGATACACACGTGCTTCATCTCTTTCCGGCTTGACGGAAGCGAGAATTTCATATGGGTGTCATTTAGCACGTGGCTCACCCGGATCCTAGAAAGAAGTAGGGAAGATTTGTACGCGGCACAGACACTCCACACAGTTGATTTCCCAAGGCTCCAGCCTATGATTTCCACTTGAACTACAGCACTTCCTGGTCGATCAGCGGAGCTGCAGGCAACTGCTGGTTAACCAGGGGCCACCGACCTGACTTGGTCTCATCTGGGGTGGGGAACTCTTTCTCCTGTACATTTTTCTCTTTTTCTTTGCATCCCCCTTAGAAGTGGAAAAGGAAGGAGAAGTAACAAGCGCTCTAGGCAGCCCGGATAGACAGTGGAACATGGCCTGGGTGTTAAATGACATTAAGGAATTACGGTTAATGTTGTTGACAATGACAATGGCATTGTTCTCATTGGTTAGATGTACACACACTCAAGTACTTGTGAGAGTCAAAGGATGGGTGTCTGGGATGTGCTTTCAAGTCACTCCAGCCAGCCCCTCTCACCTTGCTGCGCCCGCCCCCCAAAGCGGATGAGAGAGATGAAACCCCACCGACAAACTGTTGATCCATTTCAGAGCCGGGCATAGGTGCAGAGAGGCGGGAGGCGGAGAGGTTTACTACTCTCATCTCATGGGTAGCTTTGAAATGTTCAAATAAATAGTCATTTAAAAAAAAGGCGTCCCAGACAAGCACTGGGACAAAACACGGACGACATCAGACAGAAATGGGGACTCTGCTGGTTAGGGGGCAGAGAAGCGCCACCAAGAGCCCAAGAGGTCTCCAAATCGTTCCGCACCGAGGCCCGCTGCCTCCTGCGGAGCCTCCAGAGTGGGAATTAGCTGGGACCATCCTGGAGGCCCCTGGTGCTCAGAGGGAGGGAAAACAAAGCTGTCCGCGGTGGTCCCTCTGCGACCCGCGGCTGCCTCTGGATGCGCTGTCTACAGAGACCCCAGCAAACAGGTGGAGTGAGCTGCGCCTGCGCACCGCGCGGCACCTGTCCGCCGGGTGAGAGTCCATCACTACTCCCTCCAGGCTCTATGCCACGGGGAACCTTAGCGTCGCGGAGACACAACAGCATTTGCGTCTGTTGGCACTTCCAGCTCTTCACGCCCACACTTGCACATGCATTTTCAAGCCACGATTCTAGGGAGTTGCGTGGTCATTAAAATTCCAACTTGGAAGCAGAGAGGTGGAAATGTAGGTCGGCCCGCTACTAGACTTGTGTTGTTTTCTCTTCAAAATGATTTTTTTTTAAAACAAAGTAGCATATTAAAAGAGTGTGGGATTAGGGCTTGGGCTCGGGTGGAGGATTAGCTGGGCTTCATGTTGGCTGCTCATGAACTTGGGTTCACCACACGGATGTGGTTACTGAAATGCTACGCGCGGAAAGGTCTCACATTTAATTTAATAACCGCGCTATCGCAAGACATATTTGGAATTGAAATGAGAGCATAAAGAATCAGAAACAGGGTATGCTCTGAGACGACATATTTTCCCGTGGGGCTGATTGCCTTTCAGTGACTACACAGGTGTCTAACTTCACCATCTTGCCGTGTAAGATGAAAGGTGTTTGCAGTAAGGTATTTAGCCAGGATAAATGGCACAAAGATACCTCTGTTGCATACATACAGCCTCTGATGAGTGCTGGCTCACTCTGGCAAATGGCAGAACAGAGCCAAGCCACTGAGGAGTGGCTTAGTCTTCAAGATCATGGACACTCGAAATTTACTGCAGTGAGGGGCCGGGGATGGCAGTGACACGCAGCAACCGAATTATAGCAGAACCTTCGGTAAACAAGCGTGGCAGATTAGAATGCTGCACAAATCTGTTGTAGTGGTTAAGAACCAAGACATCACGCTCCAGCAGATTGTCTGAAATGCACTTGCCGGATGGAAATAAGCTCAGTGTTAGACTTCGTGAAGACGGGAACATCTTTTACTTCAAATTAGCCCAAACTTATACAAGTTAACAAGCTGAAAAGTCCAATTTTCTGTTGTGTTATTATTGTGACATCTTTGCAGGGGGTGGGGAATTTTTTTCTTTTAAGTAAGGTTTATTTACCCATTGGAAAGACAGAATTAGAGAGAGTAAGAGAGAGAGAGACAGAGAGTGAGAGAGAGAGAGAGAGAGAGAGAGAGAGAGAATGAAACCTTATATGCAATGATTCATTCCCCAAATGGTTGCAATGGCTATGGTTGGGCCAGGCTGAAGCCAGGAGCCTGGAATGCCATCCAGCCCTCCCACCTGGGTGGTGGAGGCCCAGGTACTTAGGCCTCTTCTGCTGCTCTCCTAGGTGCATTAGTTGGGAGCTGCATTGAAAGTGGAGCAGCCAGGACTCAAACTAGCACCTGTATGAGAGGCTGGCATTGCAGGTGGGGGTTTAACCCACTGCACAACAACGCTGGTCCCAGGAGTAAGGTTTGGCACAAGGATGTCATGAGAGACTAAAGCTTTTCCCTTCAAAGTGCCATTGAGAGGCTGACTTGGGGAAATAATGCTGATGTGGCACGCTGCTCACATAGTCGGAGTGTTTTGTTCTCTGACAACTAATGTATGCACTAGCAAAATTATTTGGGACAAACTGGTATCCATATGGATGTCAGCACCCCAAATGGGTGCCAGTTCAAGTCCTGGCTGCTCCACATCTGATCCAGTTCTCTGCTAATGGCCCGGGAAAGCAGTGGAAGATGGTCCCTGCACCCACATGGGAGACCCAGAAGAAGCTTCCGGCTCCTGACTTTGGATTGGCCCAGCTAGGGCCTTTGCGGCCATTTGGGGAGTGAACCAGTGGATGGAAGACACATTCATTCTCTCTCTGCCTCTGCCTTTCTATAACTCTCTGTCTTTCACATGAATAAATAAATCTTTAAAAAAACAACAACAGAAGTTGTTGTAGTTACAGGAATTCTGTTATATCAAAATCTCAGACTAACTGGCCCACTTTGCCACAGGGAAATAATTTGAGTATATAAAGGTTATGATTATATTGAAATTCCTCTGGCACAGGTTTTCACTTTGTGTCCCCAAGGATAAGTCAGTAGTATTTCAACTCACACATCGTTATCGCAAGTACTGGTTCCTTGCAGGATCATTGTGATGTTGGACGCCCGGGTGAAGTTTGCTCCTGTAACTATCACGTTGCTTTTCCCCAAGGTCGATATCTTCTGGGGCTCAATGGATTTAACGTAGAAGACCTATTGGAAATAAAAGATGAAAACACGAGATCAAAGCTAAGAAATGGCATTTTTCCAAAAAAAAATCTGTTGATGTGCTGCAGCTCGAAGAAATCACTGGGAAATTATCACATTTTGCAAACACAAGCGGGCAGTGTTTAATGAAAGCAATGAATTCAAGGGAGAGTGCTGGAGATTCACGTCTCTCAACATGCGACAGCATGAGGTCAGACCAATTAGTCTTTGTCTCACAAGACAGTTGGAAATACAGTTGAAGAGGCTGACATTCTGTCGAAGAGTGAGATATCACTAGAGTTTCAACAATTCTCCCTGCCTCCCAGCCTCTGGAGGCTCACAAAATGAGCCAGAGGAAGGGAAAGAAAAGGGTCCACTGAAGAGGGCCAACAACAGGCGCATCGTTAAGTTGAAATAAATGTCATCCTAAATAAATTCAGTCCCCGAGAAAGCCGTTTGCATTTTTGTTTGTTTCCACTAGGCTATTTGAACCATGGAGTATACTGCAGGAGAAAACAACAACAAAAAAAACCAAAAAACAAAAAACCTTGAGATTGTTGGCCCCACTGTGGGGGCCATTTCTTCTCTATGGCTTGTGAACATCCAGGTCTCCTGCTTGCCGCCCGATTATAGGCTTTTGCAGGTCAAGAACTGTTTCCTTTGGAGTCGCCTGATTCCTAGCCTTCTCTCAAGCAGGACTATGTCACCTTACCTCTCCACCTGCAGTGACTTACCAAGTTCCTCTGTATTTGATGGCAAGAACCATTTTCCCTTTTCAAGAAAACCAATCCTAATTTCTTTCATGTTTCCCCCCCTACAGGTGCTACCATTTATCATTTTGATCACTTTGGTCTTCTTTCTCAATGCTTATTTATTTGAAAGGCAGAGAGACAGAGACAGAGAAAGATGCATCTTTTACTCACTGGTTTACTCCCTAATTGCCTCTAAAAGCCAGGACTGGGCCAGGCCAAATTCAGGAGCCTGGAACTCAATCCAAGTCTTCCTTGTGGCAAGGACTCAGGTACTTGAGCCATATCCACAGCCTCCCAGGGTGTGCATTAACTAAAAGCTGGATCAGAGGAGAATGGCCAGGACTTGAGCCAGGAGCTCTGATATGGGAAGCAGGTGCACCAATCAGGAGCTTACCTCGATGAGCCATAGCACCCACCCTCTTGTTGTTTTGTAGATCATTTCCAGGTCTGGATTCCGCCACAATATGTAACCAAAAGCATAGGGGATGAAAGATCTTAAGCTTCTTGCTAGTATAAAGTAGGACAACAGATCTTCAGCACCAGTAAACTTCATACTCACACTCCTGAAATCTGAGAATGACACCAAGGCTCAAAGATGCATCCTCACGGGACTTTGGCTAACTGTAAATGCTGCACACATCCTCGTAGAGGACAAGACCCAGGAGAACGATGCTGAGGCTCTGGGGGAGCTTCCCTGCTCTCTACCTTGTGCCTACCACCTGCTTCCTGAGGTGACGCGCAGTTCCTGCCCCTTTGTGTGTGTGATGCTAATGGCAATGGCCTGGCTGGGCTTCAGGGGCTGCCCGCCCTGCTGAAACGGATGTTTTCCCATTCTGCGTCTCAGCAAACACAGGTGCTGGATGGTAGGTAGCCCTGTCACCGTCACTCATCCGCGCTATGGATTGGTTTTGCAGATCAAGGTAAATTCATCATTAATGTCATCACAGCAATGATGTAACGCGACAGAGGATTGATTTCGGTGGCAGAATTTATTTTAATCACTTTGTAAAGGACATTTAGCCCTGTATTTATTGAATCACAGAGGGCCTGAAAGGGTCACTTTAATTATTCTGTTACACTTGACTGTGTTTTATGGGGGAAATTATCCGCTGGAGTGCTACTTGGGATGGGGGGATTAGCAAAGACTCCAAGATAAATCCCTTGCAAATGTCAAGTGTGTGTTGGATTGCAAAAGGCTTACTCTGTGCTCTAACATGGCGACAGCTAAGTGAGCACCCACACGGCCTGCAGGACAGCACTAGGTACTGCGGGGACAAATGATCTATGTTGTGCTAGCTCAAGTGTTGGCAAACTACAGCCTGTGGGCCAGATCCTGTTCATGACCTGTTTTGGTACAGCCAGTGAAAAACATCACAAGAAGAATATTTCATGGCATACGAAAACGTGTGAAATTCAAATTTCAGCATCTGCAAATATTCATTTGTATATGTAGGGGCTTCAGAATTGATAGAAAATTCACATCATCTTAAAAAAAAAAGATTTATTTATCTGAAAGGTTGAGTTCCAGAGAGAGAAAAGGGGAAACAGAGAGAGATCTTCCACCCCCTGGTTCACTCCCCAAATGGCCACAACAACCACATGGACTTGGGCCATACTCTGCTGCTTTGCCAGGTGCATTCACAGGGAGCGGGATCAGATGTGGAGCAGCCAGGACTCGAACCAGTGCCCATATGGGATGCCAGTGCTGCAGGCTTTGGCTTTAACCCACTATGCCCCAGCACCAGCTCCGGAAGTCCCCTTGTTGTCTCTGGCTACTTTCGTGTGACAGCAGCAATGCTGACTGGCTGGGCCTGCACAGCTATAAATATTTACTGTGTGGCTCCGTGTAGGAACAGCCCTGCCCAGAGGAATCCACTGCGCCCTTAGGAAGACCAGGTAGCTGTTTGTTTGCTTCAATGCACATCATTTATATCCAAGTCAACGAGGAGTCCCAGGCTGCTCTTCTCTCTGGCTGGTCCTTCTCATTCTTCCATTTATACCGTTGATGTCTCCTCAAGAAAAATGTTCAAACACGCCCAGTAAACGCTACTTCTCTACTCTCTGCAGAGGACAGAGAGCGAGCCTTGTGCCGACTACACAAAGGGTTTTTAAGGGAACTATGTCTGCTCCTTCAGTGGCTCCACACACATGACCCAAGGACCTGACACGCTGTCCTATTAACTTTTTATTTGTTCCTGAGACAGCCTTGCTGCTTCTGGAGATTTCATTCTCAACTCTTACCTCCTTAGAGATGTGTCCATTGACCATCCGCAAAGGAGTGGCCAGGCCTATCCTGTGACACGCGGGGTCTGCTTCCAAAGAGGTTAGCTGAGTTGCCTTTGTTTGCTAAGGGAACCTCTCCTAATCTTGATCAGAGGACTAAGAAGTGAGTCAGAGTTAGCAGAGGGTGCCTCTAAGTATTAACCATGCAGCAATGCAAGAACATGTGAAAAACAGCAACAACAAAAAATAGGGCAGCTCTACAGCTGTACTAGTGCCTGCCGGTATTCTTAGAAACACAGCTTCCTGCGAGAGGGTACAGTGCAGGAGGCTGTGTTGGGTATATTGGATTCAGCCACCAGCATCCCATCTCTGAGTGCCTGTTTGTGTTCTGGCTGCTCCACTTCTGATCTAATGTCCTGCTGATATGTCTGGGAAGGCAGTGCAAGAGGGCCCAAGTACTCCCACGCATGTGGGAGACAGGGGTGGAGAGCCGGGATCCTGGCTTCAGCCTGGCCCAGCTCTGGCTGTTGTCCCATCTGGGGAGGGAACCAGAGGATGGATGATCTTTTCCCCCCTCCCCACTTCTCTTACCCCCGCCCCTGGGCATTCTGTCTTTCAAATAAATAAATGAGTCTTTTTAAAAAAATCCAGTATAGGCAAAAAGTAAAGAATGAGTTCCCCCCAAATGCTCCACACAGTCTACTTGTGAGATGTGCTTTTGTATTGTAATCAAGTTAATTCACGATCTGACATGAAACAGCCAGCCCCACCGGCTTCCACGTAGAGAAAGAGCTAATTTAAAAACATAATCGAGTTTGATTCAAAGAGACAATTTCTTATGCAGCCCTACAGGGACATTCCTCCCTCACCCTATGTCCAAGGATTTCCATGCATCAACTCCAGAAACCATCCACTGTAACCATCACAGCCCGGCTTCGCTCGGCAATTAACCTCAGAACGGTTCACGTCCCGCCAGTTGCGCTTTAAAGACTCCAGCGCTATGGTTAAATAGCTGCGTGGTTTTAAATTGGTTAACAAAATGCGATGAGCTTTTGATACCTGGCATGTTTAAGTCCCTTGCCTGTTTTGAGTAAGAAAGCACATCGGTAACTGGTTCATCAAGTGATTTCTAGGATACCCAATTATTATTATTATTTTAAAAACAAAGTCATTACAAGATAGCAGAAATAGCACACACTAAGTAATAGTTATCTTTGCAAAGGTCTAAGAGGATTACTCCTGACAGTCGGAGTACCTTCCGTGAAGTCTGACATCAACACAATTCAAATTACCACGACATTAATGGAGAAAATCCTGCAATGAATGGAGAGAAGGCTGCAAAGAGGTGCATTAGGCAGGCTCAGTTTATTAACTGAATCATACCCTATTAATCTATTTTAAAAAGGAAAAAAAAAAAAAAACAAACCCTGACAAAGCTCTCTGTAGGCTTAGGCCTGAATCAACACTCGGTAAAACGTCTCTCAGATTTTCATTTGTGAAATTAGTTCAAACAGGACTGGATAAAAAGTCACATAGATCCAAAACCAGCTGGAAATCTGAAACCAAAGGCCAGAAGAGAGATGAAAGGTAGCACAACTAATTAAAAGAAAGTGTCCTGGAGAGCCCTGCGGGGGTATCTGGTTCAGAATTATTTAACATCTTTATTAATGACTGGGAAGGGATGGAAGCGATGCATTAATGAAATGGATAAATTGAGAAGAGTGGCAACCAGCAGTGGAGATGGGGCAGTGTAAAAGGAGGTGAGGTATGGAAAGGAAACAGCAAGAAGACAAGCCCAGCGTTAAATGCAATAAAAAGGTCATCTATTTGATGCTTGGCCTCCTGGGCAAATAGCAGCCACCGGTTCGGGTAACTTCCGGTTGGTCCTGGGAACTTCTGGGTTAGCAGTGCCGCTGGACAGAGACCTGGAGATGGCCATTGGCTGTGCTTGCTCTAAGCTGGTGATCAAGTCCCTGTCCTCTGACCTGGGGACTGGAGAGGGAGCCTACGCGCCCAGGGCCGGGCTGCCAG